TAATAATTGACGGCTGTACTCGCAACTAGTATCGGATTGTCGATGCCACAGTAAAGATCAAAGGACTGTACGCACGCGCTATGTTCGAGAGCGGAGATGTGCGTCCTTTTGTTGAATTACCTTGGCCAGACATCACCCTTGGTTTGTTTGCTGGTGCATTGATATTCAAGTAAAACATGATTGAGATTGTACCAACAATATACTATTTAATTTTAAAAAATGAAGAAAAATATTTTTAAAAAATAAATAAAAATTTATTTTATTTTATTTTATTTTTTTTTTAGTACCATAGAATACATGCGCGTGAGGGTAATAAACTAAAAATTTTTTTTTATTGGGCCTAATAATTAATTTTATGACCTTAAAGCAGGAATGTTACAACTGCGGCATCGTGGAATATGCGCCGAATGAGGTGTCGCCGCGCATATTCCCATTACACCTTAAAAAATTCCTGGGGAGAACACTGCATAACGTTTTTTTTTATTGCAATTACTTATTTTTAGTTGTTTTTCTTTCTCTCTTTTATACATTGATCGCACCAGATTTGTGTGTGCCGCTGAAACAAAAGTGTATGTTCAGTTGAATAAATAAATTACAGTAATATCGCGAATTGTCAGTAAAACCTTTACTGTGTAGGCTAAACCATTAGCCTTACAATTTTTTTTTAGAATTCACAAGTTGAAATTCGCGGGGGAAATTCAGCATAAAAAAATGTGTTTCGCATGAAATTCACGTAAATTTAATTAACAAATGACAAATGTTGATTTATAAAATGTATATATAATTTAGCTTTAGTATAATGTAAAATTTCATCTACTTTGATCATGGACAACGTTTTCGGAGGCATGGAATGTGATCCCTCTCTTCAATGGCAAGGAGAGCAATTAATTGCTGTGCTGGATGTTACCACAGCTGCACAGGAGGGTGATTGCGCTTCTTAAAACTGATGGTGGCATGTGACTACATCGGAAATAACTAAAAAAATCAGATTTTTTAACGTTATATTTGCTCATCAGTTCGTAAAATCACTGAATATTATGATAGTCTCACCTATGCACGGTACTAGGCCTACTAAACGATGTCCCAGTACCCAACCGACTATTTTTTTAGCATTGACCAGGGACCTCCCTGAGTTTACATACTTCTGTCAGTTCTTGCACACACATGTGGCGTACAAAGAGAGTTCGCTAGCACGTAAACAAATCCGTACTTGGGTATAGCGGCGCGCATTCAGGCGTATTATGATTCATTTTAGAGAGTTGTCTATACTAATAATAATTAATAATAATTGGACGCGTTTTACGGAGCATCCAATCGGGTAGTTAAAGGGGAGGAGCAAAGGCCAAAACGAAATATCGGTGTCCAAACGATGCACTATTCAAACAGTGTTTTTAGACGCGTTTTGGTAGAACAATAGCACGTCTGAACACAGATTTGTCTTTTGAAATAATTTGGCGATCGCGCCTAAATATATATTAATATAAAATACATTTATATGATTCTTGTTCTTAAAATAATTACATTAGTGATTAACATTAAAATTTCATTATTTGACCTAATGTTGGAATTAAATAATGATGATAGTAATAATAATAAAATAATGTTTTTATTTGCTATGGACAAGCATTATTCTAGAATTAAAATTTACATTTAATGTTTGTAAATATAAATGTTTCCTTTCTTTTCCTAATTCTGGTTTTTTAATGAATGTATGTATTTTATTTCAGTAAATATTTTGTAGAAGGCTTTCAGCAAACCGGTGGACTCATCCTGCTCAGCTCAATGGCTATAATGTTGCTTTCTTGTTTTGTGCTCATTAATTCTGCTGAATGGTGAGTGGAAAAACTTGTTCTTATGAATTTCTTGACCATTGTAAAAGCTTTGTGGGATAATGTTCGACCTGATTCGTCACTAAGAATAAACATTACAATTTCAATGTTACAACACAAAAACTCTAATTATATTATTTTAAAATATATTAAAATAAAATTTTCATGAAATAAGTTTTTAATTGAGATTAATATAATTAACAGGGTAATACAATTGGAGAGATCAAAATAATAATATTATTTCATTTATGTCATTAATATGACGAAACAATGAACAAAACTATATAAAGTTGTTTTCTAGTATTGCCCTTGACAAACATTTAGACCCATTAACAACTTTGGAGAGATATTTATGTTTGGGACATCAGAAATTCAAATGACCCTCACATTTACACCCTAAACTGGATCATGCCCAACACATAATAATTTCTTCCTTGTAACTTTGTTAAACTTTCCCATATGTTTCGTTTAGATCAGTTGATCCATTTTCGAAATATCTGGTCTGGGACATTTTCCTTTGAATGGTCCTCATATCCATACCCTACTGCGGATTGTCACTAAAATTTGATCATTTCTTTATTTGATATTTACTGTTAATTGGTTTGGCATGGAGACCTTTTATATACAACTTTTATTCAAAAACAATAGTTGTACTGAATACAATTTACTCTACAATTTATTTCTCAATGGTGTTTTTTCGTGCAAGTCAGTTCAAATGAAAGTTGTGGTTAGATAAGATGTCAAAATTGACTGCAATCAGAGCGAACTTGGGCCGGCTCAAGTTCAGCTTACGTTCAGATATAAAGTTGGATCGGCCCAGGGCCGACGTAACTCTTAAGTGTGATTGGGGTCTTAGATTGACACTAAATATTAGGAGGCACATCCTTGATGTTTGGTCTATGCTTCGACAAATCATGGAAAAGTTCTAAGCATGGGAAGTCCTGGGGGTGGGGGGAACCCAGTGCAAAAAGATAGGAAAAAAAATCAGAACAAAAACAAGACCTTTTCAGCTACTGCTGGGAAAAGGCAATAATGATATAACAACAGCGCTTTAAGTATAGAGCATCTCTGCCCACCACCAATCTCTTTCTACAAAATAAATCCTCAAAAATATGTTTTTAATTTCCAACCACCATCTACTTAAAAAGATTACACTACACAAAATTTTCATTTTAAGATCAGACGTTTTGCTTTGAATGGTCCTATATCGACATCAAAATTTAAGCATTTTTCGAACGCTTCATTGTGTCAGTTGTACACCTGCCTATTCCTTACATCTTCTGGTTTAACACGCTGGTACGTTTTACTCTTATAGCTGACCAAAAAAATACCTGCCATGTATTGATGTTTAAATTGAAATATTATGCAAATAGAAAAATGAAGATTTGGTTTTTAGCCTCACATGTTTAAATGTAAAGATGCATTAAAAATATTTCCAATCAGTTCTGAAAAAAGTGAAGTTAGTATATAAAACGCTGTATACCTTTACTGTGATTGCACTAATTTATATATTCATCTATTGTTTCTGCCATGTTTAGGTCTTAGACATGTTAAATGACCCTCAAATTCACACTCAAATTTGGATCGTCATCAACACTTAATAATATCAGTTGATTAGTTTTTAAAATATCTTGTCTAGAATGTTTGCTCTAAAATCCTTTAATTGGTCCTCACATCCACACCCTACAGTACTCCGGACAATCACCAAACTTTAATAATTTCTTCATTGAGTTATACCTTACTCCGTGTTATTTTCAATTATGTCAGTGCAGCCTTTTCTTAAGATATGTTGCACACAAAAAAACATGCAAAACATGAAGATGTTAGTTTTACACACTCACACACAAGCTTTACATGACTAAAACATATATCTCAATTTAAATGGTATTTATTGTATATATAATAGATTTAGGCTATTTGGTAATAAATTATCTGCTAATGAACACAATTTGAATTTATTTGAGCAATCCTACTGTAATTTAGGCTTTCAACTCGTAATGAGTAATTCGTAAAAATCTGATACTGGTACGGGCATTTATGATGCGCCTTATCCTTGAGGTTATAAAGGGCAATTATTTTCCCTGATCATTGGGTCCACATGCTTTAAGTGTTGTTGCTGGTAATTAGCGCCGGAGCAGGCTATCCTACCAGGTACTGATACCGTTAGTAGTCGAACAAACTGAATTCAAAATTTATTCTGTACTGAATGTTCTTTTCTCAGTACTGTATAACTATAAATTACCCAAAGCACCTAAAATAATCTATGTTAAACCTGTAGGCAAAACATTAACATATATATATATATATATATATATATATATATAGTTATTAAAATACAGGGTTAAACAGTACAATGAGAACCATAAAATGGTAAAAGTCTGACATTCGTTATGAAGTTACAGGAGTTTATACAAAGCTGTTTTCAAACCAGTATTTGAGAAATCAGCCTTCAGACGTTACAATTTTGGGCATTTCTTAGGCAGAAACCATCACCAAATCGTGAAAAATTGTTATCAGCATTCAAAATTGGGAAAATAACAGCATAGCATTACAGTATTTATCAATACATAAAGGTTAGGTTAGTACAATAAAATAGATTTCCCAAATGTTGACATTCGAGCATGTATTGGCCATAATCTCCAAAACAGGATTTGTGACAAGTGACTTATTTGGCTTGTCTTTGCCACATATGTCTACACTCAGTGCGAGAGACATTACAAGCGTAATTTTGCTATTGGAGACTCGACCATCCTAAAATCAGCATATTGTTACTATATGTTAATTTAAACTGAATAAACTGATATGTAATGTGCAGTGGCGGTGGCAAGGGGGTCTTAAGCCCCCCGGTCCGGTCAAGCCCCCCCCCCAATCGGCCAAAGCTCGTCGGGCAGTCAGACCAAAAAAACAAAAAAAATAGGCTTAGTTTTCCCATCCCAGACATTTCCGGCCATCTAGACGTCCCAATTTTTTTTTTTTTGAAATGTCATTATGGGAGGAGGGGACATCCCCCTCCCATACCCACCCCTGGCTCTGGCCTTCGGCCCTCAGATAACACTGCGCGATATAGTTACACCCAAAAATACTTAGGCCCCCCAGTTGGACATCTTAGGGGCCCCCCACCAATAAATTCTATCCTAGAGCCGCCACTGGTAATGTGGCAGATACTTGATACTTTAGTTCAGAGAAGCCGTAATACTTTTACTTATAAGTTTGGCAATAGTAAATAGATTTCAGAACTGACCTGTCATTTAAAGCGTATAAATAATAATGATAATAATATATTTTAATATTATTATATATAATAATAATAATAACAAAAGCAGTAGAGAGCATATCTCCGCCCACTGCAAATCCCTTTCTCAAAAATAAATCCCTAAAAAGTATGTTCCTACTTTCGAACCACCAACCACCATCTACTTAAAAAAAAATACACTTAAACACGAAAGTTACATTCAAATTATTGTAGTTTATTACTTTTTGGGATATCTGATCTGGGACATTTTGCTTTGAATAGTCCATATATTCACATCCACACCAAAATTTAATCACTCAATTTTTCGAATGCCTTTTTGGTTTTTAGCGTCACATTGTATAGATGTATTAAAAATAATTCCCAATCAGTTCCGAAAAAAGTGAAGTTAGTACATAAAACGCTGTACAGCTTTACTGTAATTGCACTAATTTAGATATTCATCATAAACTATTGTTTATGCCTACAGTAATACAGTAAACTTATTTTTTAATGGCCCAGAGATATTTAGGTGTGGGACCTGGCCTCCATGCACACCCGACTTTGGATCGTCACCAACAATTCAAATTTATTTTCCTTGTAACTTGATTAAACTTTCACAAAAGTTTCATTCAGACCATTTTATTAGTTTTTTTAAATATCTGGTCTGGGATGTTTTCGTTTGAATGGTTCTCATATCCATACCCTTTTTTCATTAAAACATGACAAATTATTGTCGAAAGGGAAATTTTGATTCACACCTGAATTTTGATCTTCATCAATACTTAATAATATCTTCCTTGCAACTTGGTTAAACTTTCATTTATATCAGTTGATTAGTTTTTAAAATATCTTGTCTAGAACGTTTGCTCTAAAATCCTTTAATTGGTCCTCACATCCACACCCTACTCCGGACCGTCATTTTTTCATTGGGTTATGCCTAATACTCCCTGTTATTTTTAATTATGTCTGTGCAGCCGTTTCTTGAGATAATTCAAACACAAACAAACACACAAAGTCAATAAGACACCTCAAAAGTCGGGAAATCTCATTTCCCGCCATCTAGGAATAAAAATTTTCCAGGGGGAGAACCCCCACACCCCATTTCTTTTTGAGATTTATCAATACTTGGAAAAAAATACGTAGGCAACTCAATTTTTTTTATCTATACACTTACTGTAATAAGAATGAGAAAAATTAACCTGACCATTTTCAAGAGGGGAAAACCTCGAATTTTGAAGGACTTCAAATTATAGTCACTTCAGAAGTCTTGAAAGCTCATTTCCTGCCATTTAGAAATCAACACTTTACCAGGGAGAACCTGAATCCCCCTTTCACGTTGGTGTTCATTGATTCATGGAATCGTTTTCAAGAGGGGGGAATTTTGGAGTACTTAAAAGTCATTAAAGGTCACCTTAAAAGTCAGAAAAGCTCATTTCCCGCCATCTAGGAGTCAAAATTTTCCAGGGGGAACCTCCAGATCAACCTTTCTCTTGGGGGTTTATCGATTCATGGAAAAAAGAATACATATGCAACTACTCAATTCTTTTATGTATGTATACACACATAACAGGCCTTTTTAATGTAATAAAAATGAGAACAATAAGCAATCGTTTTCGAGAGGGGGAGAAAACCTTGAATATTTAAGAACTTGTCATTACGATACACCCAGCTCAAAAGTCGGGAAAGCTCATTTCCCAGCCTCCAGGAATCAAAATTTGAGGTTCCTCGGACTGCCGTCTTTTTGGGGGTTTTGGGGAAAATTCTGACCCCCATCCCCCTACATTTGAAGCCAGATCCCCCTGATTCATATTCCCATCCATTTTACTAGTTATGTCCCCCTCCCACTTTGAAAACGTTCTACCAGCTCTGCATTCTCTTTGTTCACTATCTTTGTTGTGTACTGCAAGCATTAATTATGAAATGCATATTTATATCATTTTAATTCTGCATGTAATATATAATTATGTTATTAATAGTACATAAAATTAAAATTTAATTATTTGACCAAATTTATATATTTTTTTCTAGAATTATAATAATTAAATTAACAATTAAACATTTTGATATTTATGGTGCATTTGTATTTTCTCATCCTAAATCTAATTAATGCAATTTATTTTACTATAGAAATTCTGAAGAAAATTTAGACATTGCACCTCTGCA